GCCATATGATCCAGTAATCCCATTCCTGGGGATATACCCAAAAGAATGTGGCACAGGTTACTCCAGAGGCAACTGCACACCCAAGTTTATTGCAGCACTATTCACAATAGCCAAGTTATGGAAACAGCCAAGATGCTCCATTACTGACTAATGCATTAAGAAAGTGTGGTATTTATACACAGTTGAGTTTTATTCAGCCATGAAGAAGAATGAAATCTTATCATTCACAAGTAAATGGATGGAACTGGAGAACATCAACTTGAGCAAGGTAGCCAGGCTCCGATGACCAAAAATTGTATGTTCTCCCTCATATGCGGAGTATAGATCTAGGACAAATGCAGTAATTTTTTTTAGACTTGGGTCACATTTAAGGGGAGAGCACATATGGGAGGAATGGGGATAGGTAGGAAACCCAAAACTTGAAAGTGTTTGATGTCCCCACTTCAGAAGAGATAATATAGTAACCTTAAAACAACAGAGGTCACAATGGAAAGGAGACCAGGAAGTAGTGAAGAGGTCGGGTTGTAATACACTTGTGCATGGAACAAATAGCTATCCTTATTTCAACTAGCAAAAACGCTATGTCTTTCTTATTGCTTATGTCTTCTTGTCAACAAAATTGGAGAAAATTGCAGTTCAGTTTCTGCCTGGAAGTGTGGGGATGGGGGGAGAGGGAGAGGGCTGGGGTCAAGGAGGAGAAATGGCCCAAACAATGTATGCACTTACGAATAAATGAATAAAGAATAAAAAAACATCAAAAATAAAAAAAACAAATAAAACAATATTTAAAATATTAAGTAAAACATATAAACAAATGTATTGAATATTTATTCTATTTATTAATCAAACAAATATTAACAAATAATAAATTAACAAATAAAAACAATAGTAAGGTATTGTTTTATCCACCAGCCCTTTTTTGTGTTAGGTATTTTTGTGACTGTCTTCTGAACTATATGCCCAGGCTGGCTTCAAAACACAATTTCCTGATCTCTGCCTCTAAGGGAGGTAGGATTACAACTCTGAGCCACCAACTGAGTTTTTTTCAATATGAAATTGTTCTCTTCGTTCTGAGGAGGGACATATAAAGCTTTTTGCATGTGTCTATCACATTGGTCAGTTCCTTATGTACTTTATGAAAGAAGACTTTGAGTGTATTTGGCTCAGTTGCATTGTATTCTCCCAGAAGATACAATGAGCTCAGTGTTTTGCACTGTGGTTGCCCCTATGCTGCATCCCTGTAGCTACAGTCTGGGGAACATAGACATTCAAAGGACCCAAGGGTGATCTATGGCAGAATTTCTAACATTAGGCCTCCATCATCCATTTAGAATGTAGCTTGGAAGAAGCAATGAAATTTAACATATAGACTTCTAAATCATGCCAATTTTTTCACATAATTTTTGCAATTTCATGGTCTTAATTCTCATGTTTCATAGTACATTGATGGTGGTCACATTTGGTTGAGTGAAGAGCACGTTCCAAAAACAAACCAATAAATATTTCCATTTTAGAAAAATGAAAAGTTTCTGGAAATGTAGTGTGTTGATAGTTTCCCAAAATGTGAATGAAATTGTCACTGATGTACTTCCTGTGGTTCAAATAATAAGTTTTTATTCCATATATTTTCCAAATAAAAATGGATGTAAAAACATGATGGAATATATATATTCTGTTTTGTATTTGTGAATATGTGTTAATTGTGTATGAGTATACATACATATATGTATACATGAAAGAAAGAACTAGAGTAGGGACAATCATTGTCTGATCAAACAAGAACCCAAATCTTATTTTGGACATTCATTTTATCCTCTTCTTCTGTTAGTGTTAGGAATTCCTTAGAGATTGGGATCACTTGGAACAAATTGTCTAATTATGAGCTGTGTGCATTGAGCCACCGTGGTCAAAAAGAGACTCAATAAGTCTATCCTTCCAGCCCTGATATTTAATACCTCCAGTACACCTGGTATTTGATACCTCCAGTTGGACCTATATAAGTCTCCTCCACATTTGACCACATCAGGGAGACCTTATCTGTCACTATTCATATCACTCTGGAAGACAGGATCTGAGATTTCACTGGACCTCAGTCACTGTACATTTTCAGAGGTGCACTTTTTCATCATGACCCAGCAGAGAAATGGCTCAACACAGTAAGTACTGGGTGAGATCATGGAGATGGGACAATTTTCAGGTGTCATTTCCTCATCACGAGGACAAACATAATAGTTTGAGAATTCAAATAAAGGATACCAATAACAAAGATATCAATTACGAGGACCAAAATGCTTTTATTCTTGGTTGTGGTGAGAGTAACAGAAATCGTACTATAAATATCTATGTCTCATAATAGTCTGACCCAAAACAGCAGAAAATGGGTACTTGTTACCTCTCTCCTTAATACTACAGAAGGATTTTAAAGGTGATGATAAGATTGATGGTATTAATGATGGTGAGAGTAACCATAACACAATGAACTGGGAGCTTTCTAATTTGAAAAGAGTAGCATGTCTCCTTTCATAGACTTCATTTTCCTCTGGTTATAATTATCCACATTATCATGGCACCAGTGGTTCATGCCTGTACTCCTGGCCACTAAAGAGTCAGATATCGGTAAAATTGTAGTTCAAGGCCAGTCCAGCCAAAAGTTCATGAAATGCAGTTTCAACAGAAAAAATGTGGGCATGGTGGCATGTGTCTGTCATATCAAGAAGCATAAATAAGAATATACTGTCCAGGGTGGTCAGAGCTTAAAGTGAGATCCTGTCTCCAAACAACCTACACTGTGCCAAAAGGCCAGGAAGTGTGTTTCTAGTGGGAGAGCACCTACCTAGAAAGCCTAGCAAGTTCACATCCCAGTATCACAAAACAATCAAAATAAAAGAATATAAAAGTACCCACAATACTATCTTTTAGAAAATAATGGAACAAATTAAGATTATGTAGCTTGTTTTATGTTGTTAGGTTAAAAACATAAAACAGAAGCTTCATTTGAACTGGGCTGTCTGACTACAAACACAGAGCATCATATCAGGAGAATGCTGACAGGTTGGAGACCTTGAGTACTCAAACATTCACTTCATCTTCCTGCCAATTCAGAAAGAGTCATATTGCTCACTGTTCTCCTTTTGAGATTCCTGGTACATGGCAGAACAGAACAGTGAGTGGGCACCAGCTGAGTCCACTGTAGGAAGGAGATCCATAGATCAAAGACAAAGATCACAGAATGAAAAGGAACATGATAAGTTAGCTCAGACCTCTACTTCTTGTCACAATTCCATTCTATTCTTGCTGCTGTTGGCAACCTCTTCCATTCCATTAATCAGCTCATTCATTTTCAAAAGGAGATATTCTGTCAGATCATGGTTGCACTCCTTTGCAAGAACCTGGAAAGAGTTTTAAAATGCCCCTCAGAAATATCTGTGCTTATGACTATTGTGCCTTCTACTTAAAGCATTCTATTGGCTGGAAAACAATGAAAATGCATAGTGAATTGAAAATAGAGTCTGACAATTCTATTTTGGAGCCTTCCAGACCACTTATCACATAAGGAAGTTTATGACTCTGAAAGTCAGCATTCTCTACTATGTTGATTTAGAATTTAGGCAAATGAATTGAGCAAGGATTAAATGGATAATGGAGGCTCCATAAATTGTCAATATGTGGTGTGCACATAACCTAAGGCCAATATAAAATTTACATCTCATTATCAATACTGATAAGACTAATGTCTGTATCATTGAAGTAAAGTAGCCTGTGACATGAAGTTAAATATTTACTATTTCTGTAGTAAGATTGTTTTTTCTCCTTTTTATAATTATATCCATATGTTTCAAGAAGAAACTCTGTTTTGCTTCTGATTCTCCAGAGTCTATAGAGTTTTTTGTGGTACTGGGGTTTGAACTCAGGACCTACATATTGAGCCACTCCACCAGCCCTTTATTTATGAAGGGTTTTTCGAGATAGGGTCTCACACACTATTTGCCCAGGCATTGGAACAATGATCCTCCTGATATCTGCCTCCTGAGTACATAGGATTGCAGGCATAAACTACTAGTGCCCAAAGAGCTTATAGCTTTTTGTCACAAAGGACACATCAAACATGAAAATCCGTGTTGACCTTGAATAGCCCCTTCCCTGATTCACAGTATTTATCAATGTGACCTCAACACACTTGGTATTTTTCTATCTTCACTTTTATCTCTCTGTAGAATGTCCCTTAGAACTAGAAATGAGAGAAAATTGATTTGTGTCTATACTCAGGACAAAAAGCCCTATAACAGAATTAATCATATCTACAGCTATAAATTTAAAAACAGCAGGTATTTTATGGTGAAATAAAGAAAAAGAGACAAAAGATAAAAAGAGAAGGGTAGAGTTAAACCTTATGCCTGAGAAAGACACTAAAGAACTTCACATCAATCCATTCTCCAGTGTTGTTGAAAACTGTACACATTGATAACCTTGCAATTTCTACAATGACTGAATTTCCTATTTTTGAAAAAGTATTTATCAATATATATTTAGTTTCAGGATTCTCTTATGTGTCACACATGTTACATAGATGTGGTTATTATACCTATATCCATTAAGAAGTATGAAGAAAGAGAGATGAACACACTCACATACATTCTGCACATATTACCAGGTCAATGACAGTGGACAGAAAGGTTCAGTTTCTGGCTCCCATCCCTAAGTACCATCTACACTATGGCAGACAGATGAAATTCCCTGTTGTGATGTCATAAAGAAATTACCACTGAACAGAATGTAAATATATGTGGTGTCTCAAGGAAAATAGTACAGATGGTCATGACTCATTTTTAATGGTGAAAAGAAAGATAGGCAATTAATAGTAGAATTAATTATGCATTATTTGTTGCAGTTCAAAAAACTATACATCCTCTACATGTTTTATAGAAATTCTCAATTCTGTCACATAGAGAAAATATAGGAAGTTAGAAAAGATTGCTATAATCATTGAAGTTGCAAGCTCAATGATATCCTCATATCCGGTAATGCCAAGAATCACAATGGAAGATGAATAAAATCAATTAAATATATTTGTACATGTATATATTATAGTAAATTTCATGAATCAATACAATTAATATCTGTTAATTATTTGAGAAACATCAATGTGAATTAGATGAGAGAAGGAGAGAGAAAGAGAGCGAGATTAAAAAACAATTTGGGGATGTAACTGGTACATTGGATGAGTAATAGAGTTCTGTGTTTACTACTTTGATGATAATGAACAACTTTTCAAGTAAGTGTCTATAGGAAAACAGTTCATGAATAAATACTACAATACTGACAAGAAAATCTTGAGAAGAAAATCTACCTACCAAATTAATAGAAATAATTTCTTTATGAAAGTATGTGCATGTTAATGAAATAAAAAATACCAAGAACATAAATTTGTTTTGATCAAACACTATGAGAAGCTTACATTTAATACACGTAGAGGATATCCTTGATGTCAACAGTAGTTAACAGTCATGGAGCATTTTTTGAATGCCTGGAAGTATTCTACTACAGTGATTTCCAATTTTGTTTTAGGACAGTAAAATAAGAACTTTAGGTGGAGATAATATGATAAATTGGATTTGGTCTGGCCGGGATGTCTGCATATTTTTAAATATTCACAGTTGAATATATTAAGCGCAGTTGAGAATTACTAGTTCACAATTAATTTGTCATATATTTAAATCATTGCAGGTAAAATGTGCACTATTGCAAATTTATGGTGAGTGATACAATTGAGTATACATTAAATCTTGTGAAGGTTCAAGTATACTAGTCAAGGATAACAATTATATGCAAAATAGGTTTAAAAAAGCAAGCAAATTTTAGTAAGTACTTACATCCTTAAGGAAAAGAACCATAAAACCCAGAATGATGAAAAACTACTAGGAGATAAATAGCACACAATACCACTTGATTCTTTTTAAGTTTCATTTTATCATTTTTACATTTGCTTACACGTGAATACATTATTTTGCCTATCTTTAGACAGACCCTGTTCTGCCCTCTTGTTCTCTGATTTTGTTGAAGAAAAAACACAAAAGATAATAATAAAAACATGGCATTTTTTGCTGGTTTGGGAGAAGAATGGCTATACAGGGAGATTATTTGTATTGTTTCCATGCATACGTGTATTACAACCAAAATTGGTTCATCTCTACCAGACTTCTTCACTTACTTCCTAGTCCCCTTCCCATTGCAGTCCATTTCATTCTAATTGTTAACTTAATTTAGTGCTCCAATAATGAAGTTCAGCTGTTAAAGAATGTTTATAAATATCTTAAGTTAACAGAATTTGTAAAAGTGTCTTACAATAAAATTAACTACATTTGAATATCTCATAACCTGATTTAAATAGAATGATTTTTCTTAAAATGGGAAGATTCTATTAGTCATAAAAATGGTGTGATGTTTTTGGTTTTCTACCTATTCCCAAATCTCCCATATGTGCTCTCCCCTTGTCATGTGATCCAAGTCCAACCACATTGCAGCATTTGCCCTAGATATAAAGTCTGCATATGAGGGAGAACTTACGATTTTTGGTCTTCTGAGCCTGGCTAACCTCACTTAGGATGATGTTCTCCAGTTCCATCCATTTATTTGTAAATGATAGGATTTCATTCTACTTCATGACTGAGTAAATTCCAAGGTGTATAAATACCACATTTTCTTGATCCATTCATCAATTGTGGGGCATCTTGGTTGTTTCCATAACTTGGCTATTGTAAATAGCACTGCAATAAACATGGCTATCCTTAACACAACTAGCAAAAATGCTTTGTCTTCCATATTATGCTTCTGTCTTTCCTTCAACAAAATTAGAGATAAGGGCAGAGCAGGTTCTGCCTGGAAGCGAGGGGGAGAGTGGGGGAGAGGGTGGGGAGGGGGTGGGGGGAGAAATGACCCAATGTAGGCACATGTGAATAAATGAATAATAATTTTTTTAATTTAGTCCTATAAATGTCATGTTAAGGTAAATTCCATTAGATTTGGCTGGGTTCAGTCTTGGTAGAAACCAGTATACCTGAAACCACTTGACAAAATCCATCTAAAATATTAACCATTTGATTATCCTATAGAATGTTATCACCATTACCTGTCACTTACAACTCTGTTCATTTTCAATCTAATGAATATTTCAAATGAATATATATATATATATATATATATATATATATATATATATATATAAACTGCTAGCTTTTTCTTGAAATATGTGGTGAAGCTTTTTCAATCTATTTAATATTTAACTACAATACAGAAATAAATCATACCTATTGAAGGAAAAAATGGTCCAATGTATTTATCTATGATCTAAGTTTTATTATCTTTGATGTTTCTAGTCTTCTAAAATAGTTTAGTTCAGTGCCAAAATTAAGTGTGTATAAAAGAAAGTGAATGACACAGAAACCATTATTTCAACAGTTTTAGATTGGTTTTGCTACCACTGGGAAATATTGAGAAGGGGTTTCATGAACTTTCTTCCATGACTGATCTTGAACCAGGATCTTCCCAATCTCTACTTCCCAAGTAGCTAGCATTACAGGAGTGAGACAATCAACCTGGCCAGGTTTACATCATTTATTTAAAGTTATTTTGTGTGACTACTTGAATCTGAAACACATAAAGGTTTCAATGTTCCTAATTATTTATTTATTTATCCCTCACACACTTCCATTTCAAACTCAGGGCTTCATACTTGCTAGGGAGACAGTCTACTATGTGAATCACATCTCAGTCCTAACTTTCCATTTCTAAAGATGTACAAGAAGTGTAGGAGAACTCAATCTCACACATGTCTCAGAATTCCACCTCCTGGGAATCTCAGAAGATCCAGATCTACAGCCCATTCTCTTTGTGCTGTTCCTGTTCATGTACCTGGTCACAGTGCTGGGGAACCTGATCATCACCCTGGCTGTCATTATTTACTCCCACCTCCACACCCTCATGTACTTCTTCCTGTCCAACTTGTCATTAACTGACATCTGTTTCATCTCCACTACTGTCCCAAAGATGATTATGGACATCCAAACTCAAAGCAGAGTCATTTCCTATGTGGGTTGTCTGACACAGATGTCTCTTGTTACTATTTTTGGATGTATGGAGGACATGCTTCTGACTGTGATGGCCTATGACAGGTTTGTGGCCATCTGCCACCCCCTGCATTATCCAGTCCTTATGAACCCTCGCCTCTGTGCCTCCCTAGTTTTGGCGTCATTTTTCATTAGTATTTTGGACTCCCAGTTGCATAATTTGATTGTCTTACAGTTTACTTGCTTCAAGAAAGTGGAAGTTTCAAGTTTCTGCTGTGAACCTGCTCAAATCCTTAATCTCAACTGTTCTGATACCTTTGTCAAACATATAATCACATATATGGTTGGTGGAATATTTGGTTTTCTTCCAATCTCCACAATACTCATCTCTTACTATAAAATAGTTTCCTCTATTCTAAAAATCACATCATTAAGTGGAAGGTATAAAGCATTTTCTACATGTGGGTCTCACCTGTCAGTTGTTTGCTTATTTTATGGAACAGCTATTGGTGTGTACCTTGAGTCATCTGTATCACATTCTTTCAGACACAGTGTGGTGTCTTCAGTGATGTACACAATTGTCACTCCAGTGCTGAATCCATTCATCTACAGTCTCAGGAACAGCGATATTATCAGCACCCTGAAGGCCTCTGAAGGCCAAAAAGCAATGGCTAATGTCAGGTACTAAGAAAACCAATCTGTATACAGTTGAGATAAAATAACTCAAAAATCAGTATCAAGAACCGTAGACACTCCCTTCCAGTCATATATTTTCTATAATTTTATGGCTTTAATTCTTCATCATATTTCACATAGTTAGAGGGCTGTTGATAGAGATAAATAAAATGTGTTTAAAATGAGTACAAATGTTCATATTGTGAATATGAAAATTTTTGTATATAGATGATGGTAATGGTGGTCTAAAAATTTGAATATAAACAATGGTACTGGAACATGCACTGAAAAGTGATTGGAAAGGTAACATTTGTTATATACATACTTTGCCACAATAAACAATGGAAATAAAGAGTGTGTTAGTATTTTAATGAAAGAAAATAAATGAATAAAGTGAATAATACACAAAAGTTTCCTCCTAAATAAAAGTCTTGACCAAAATCCTCATTATTATTAGAGATTCCTGAGAGTATAGGATAATTGGAACACTCTGGGCTCTGTATGTTGATCATACACTACTAAACAGCCTGCCACTCCAGGCATTCAGTTTGATGGACCCAGTCTAGTAGGCTCCATTATCTGTGTGTCCCCCTGACATGGTTTTCTGGAAGAAGAAACTGCTATTTGGATAAGTATTCATATCAATCCTATGGATGGATTTTGAGCCTTCATTGGGGCCCTGGGAGGGGAAGCACATTGGTTCTGAATTTCTTTGCATATGACCAAGAAGACATGCAGAGTATCCAGTAAATATTCATGGAGGTGATGGAGGACAGATGTTGCATGCATGTTTCCTTATCATGAAGATATAATTGATATTTGGGTAGCCAACTGGGGGAAAACCTACAAGCAAAATTTCATCAAAGAGTACAGTGAATTTTATTTCTTTATTGTTTTTCTGATCATAAACTCTCTTATTTATAGTTGAGAACTTTGACTCCTGGGAAATCTTGACACTCCAGGTTTCAGCCATTAACTCATGCCCCCTTAACAAATCTTCATACCAACACTTTTAGATACATGGATTGCAATACTCTTACTTCAGCTCTGAAAAGAAACTCAGATCTGTTAATTAGCTCATACTGTAACTTGTTGATTAAATCATGCTTGGGAGGTGGCTCAGTGACAGAGTGAATATCTTCATATGAAGTCTTTTATTATCTTCCCCATATATGAGTTAACTACCACTGACTTGATTAATGCTTAGCTTTTACAAAAGAACGAATTACTATTATCTATTATTACTGACAACAATACAAATTATGTTCAAATCTCGAATAGTATTTGTCTTAAAACTGATATTTTGAATTATTATCTATGAAACTAATAATGATATTTACCAGCAGACTCCATTCTCCAGCACACCTGTCCCCCAAAGGCAATGTCTGTCAGGAAATTGGTGCATAGATTGTTCTCTCAATGTTTTCATGCTGATATTGATTTATGTATCCATAAATACTTTTTCTTGAAATTTACCTAAAATGAACCTAAAGTTCATCTAATTAGTTTGTACCACAATACTTGTTTTCCTTGAAATATAGTGGTTAAAATTAAATGTGAATTCAAGTCTCTCTGTGAAGTACATACATATACTTTAAATGTTTTAACTGAAGCATTGCATTACCTCAGGGAGAGACATAATTTAATTCTTCAATTTATATTATGACAATCTTTTTAATATTATTCTGCCTGTATCCATATCACACAATGGAGAACTTCTAGATAATTCATGAATATATGATGCTTGTCTGAATTCCAACCATTGATAAATGAGCAATCTTACTGCTGAGCTTTTATATTTTGTCCCAATAAAAATCAGTCCAGGAAAAATCCATTCCTTGTCAACTATATCATCTTGCTCTTAAGATATACTTTGGAAATATCTCTGAGTTATGTTTAGTAATAATCAGGGAATAATTGCTGACCAAGAAATTACGTCTTGCATAGGTAATAATATTTCAATTTGTACCCAAGGAGATATTCCCAAGGAACATGAGTCATGGATTGAACACTTTAGAAAACACTCCAACTGTCCAATTGACCTGTAATTATATACAGAATGTGTGTAAAACTTCACTTCCCTGTACTCATACTGCTTGATGGAAGTAGGGAGAATAATACCCATATCTGTAGTGTATGCAGTTGAGGGTTTTTGAAAATTTAAATTTCATCACATAGAATATTTAAGGAATTTAACCATTGTGAGGATCGTGAATTTATTGAAGAATATAATTATCAAAGAATATTATAGTATGTAATTACCTATAAATTTAAAGTGTGTCCTGTCCCAATTCATAAGTTTAGCAATCATATTCTTTATGCAACTTTTATGTCTTTATACTCATAAATAAATTTGCTATGATCATGAAAGAAAAACTTACTGAACCTATACATTTAGCACATGTTGCTAAATGGTGTCACAAGACCCAGTTGGTTATGACATAAACACAAACAAGTATTGTTTTATCTCTTCTCCTGTTCTTGGGGACATTCAGGAATGAAAATACAGATAAAAAGCACTAAGTATGTTGAAACAGCGCTGCATGTGGCCAATATTTGTGAATAAGGAAGAGTTTATTAAGTGTTTAACAGAAGTTAAACTTTGTGTGCCAGGCTAGGCATAGGATATGTGGAAACAGAAGTGCAAGAGAATTAGTAAATCCTCTTCAAATATCGATATGCTCATACAGGAACAAAGATGTAATACTCCATTATGTAAATAGGAAAGAAGCAACTTCAGATGCCCAAATATTTCAGTTCAGTCATACAAAGGTTAATCTTATTATTAGTGCCAATAATAACATCTAAGTTATATTTTACTCATATCATATATTATATATTAAAACTATGTGGCACACTTAGGATTTTAATTTTGACTCAGTGCACTGAATCACGCCTCTAATGACAATACTGAGCATGAGAGATACAAACGAAGTGCCCATTTCACAAAATAAGTGATGGAGATAGGATTAAAATTAAACTGACAATATTTGGATTTGATATAGTACCTATTTCATGGTTCCCAATGCATCAAGTAGTTTCAGGACAATGTCAGAAGTCTTATCTACTCTTACATCTGAGGAACATTAAATACTTTCAGCTTCCTGAGCAAAAATGAAATCAAATCCTGAGCTATGTCCTTTGACAATGGGAAAGATGGCTTTATGATTGGAGGAAGATGTGTACAGATGTAAGTATATCCTAGATTGAGCCAAAAGTGAGATCAGTATTGATTATTGACTTTGATCACTGCCCCAGCTCTCTAGAATACTTCCTGTAGTTGTTTCAGCAGGTGCCCCTCACTGATCTCCTCTATAAAGTAATGGTAACCACCAACTGGAAGAAATTAATGAGAAAGGCATCCCTTGCTAGAGAGAGAGCAAAGTAAAATGGGTGCTTGGCTTGTCAAAGGAAAAACATGTCAGGATTATCCAGGGAAGATAAATGTTCTGTATCAGACTTCCCATTATAAAATTTATCACTCTTAACTCCAACATGTTTAAATTATATATAGTGTCATGTCCCTTTTTTTCTTCATAATAATAACAATGGATTTTGTGCTGACTAAATGAAACAACTACATAGAATACATAACTCAAATTCAGAAATAATTCACTGATAGATTCATGATAATCTGGTTACTGTCACCCTTTTGGGTTCTTAGGAAAATGGCTTACAGACACCCAAGGTCCACTATTGTTTATGATATGTATATGGGAAGCAGAACAAATGTAGCACAGTAAAACTTTGAACGAGCTTTTAGGGACTCCTTTCACAGGCAATTACAGAAACTTCAAAACTTCACAGTTGAAATTCTGCCTATTGGTATCTTCCCATCTTCTAATCAACTTCCACACTCGTCCTCATGACTGGAAAAACATGATTCCAAAAGACCTTTTTTCCATTCATCTTTCCTCACAGAACTTGTTGAGAAAACTGTTTCTCTGCTGAATCAACTGAAAAGTAATGTGAGTCTGAAAGCCTTTCCTGACTTTCAGGAGGGTTTAGTTCCCACCACAAATTATAACAATATTGTCAGATATGAGCTTACTGATGTAGACACCATGGTTATGAAAGCTAAGGAACAGTAACATCAGGACTGGAAAAACCAAAATGATGGACTGGAAGAATAGTTTGTTTTTTACTTAACATTGGAGTCTCATGTCACAGAGCTCAAAATTACCCAAATTGAACTGTAATCCCAATCCATAAGAAGTTCTGAATGTTAATACAGGATGAAAAAGAACAGAAAATTAATGTCCACGAAAGTTTTTGGTCACTTCTTCCACTTAGGAAAATTCATGAATACGATTCACTTTCTCAGTTTCTTTCTATTTTAAGACCAAGCTACTTTTCATGTCCATTTTTCATTGTGGGAATAATACAAAAGTTAGATGCCATTTAAATCACTTGAGGCCACATTTTCCTAAACTGGATCTTTGCATTCAATTGAGAACCTCAAAACTCCTCAATTCCTAGTACTTTCAACCCTGATTCTCCTATGAAACATGATAAGAAACTAAGGTCAGGAAACTCTGAATACAAGGCAAACAAGGATGCATAATTGACTGGTCTAGGTTTTCATTTAGACTACTGTTTGCAAACTATATTCCAAATGGATGATACAGGTCCTGAGATTATACTGTCCTATTGTGCACAGTTTATTATAGACAAATATTACTTACACTCATGATCATCAGAGTACAGATGAAGGGATTCAATATAAGGGTGACTAATATATACATCACTGAGTCCAACATCCCCTTTCAGCGAGAACATGACAAAGTTGAACTAAGGTAAATTCCAAGGCCTGTCCATAAAACAAGTAAAAAACTCATAGGTAAGACTCCCTACTGATGAGATTTTCAGAATGATGGATACCACTTTATTATAAAGGAAAATGATACTTATAATGGGAAAACAAATATGACACCAGCAATATACTTCACTATGCTATTGCTGAGGAATCATAACATGTATGATTAGGGACATGAGAAGGACACAGGAAATGAG